AACTGCTTTCCCTATGACTTTTTCTGATTAAAAAAAATGCCAATTTTTATGTTTATAAAATATTTTGAATGAAAAAGATTAAAATATGAACAAAATAAACCATTTTGAACACACTTTTTTATTATTTATAAAAAAAAATATAGTTCTGGCATAAACAATGTTAAATTTTAACTGACTTAATTTTGCAAACGCATCTTTTTTATTTATATGGATATCTTAAGGTCAGTTTTTGTGCTAATTTGAGCGAAAAAAAATTGTTAAGGAAAACTTTTCTGTTAGCGAACCCTTTGTTAAATATTTCGAATATCACCACTGCACACACACATACATTCATTTTTATATATATAGATAATCAAATTTTTTACTTAATTTTTTTTATCTGTCTTTTCAAAATTAATTGAATGAATAAATTTTTAATTTGAAAATTGAATAATTAATTTTCATTATCTTTATATCCAATAACTATGTGGTTATACTTGAAGGATAATCACACCACAGGTACAGGTTGGTAGTTGACACAGATATCCTTTTTTTGATTTCTTTTTTTTAAGTTGATGTGGCGTGTTTTTGTAAAGTTTTAATCATTGAAGTATATGGGTCATTCTAAGTTAAGAGGTACTTGCTGGTTAAGAGAGGCGGCACGACATAAATGTTAGAAATTTAATCTAATTATGTAACATTTTTATTGAAACAACTAATTTGTGCATATCTGCAAAGTGGCCAGTCAGTTTATTTATGGAGGTGCTAGTAGGATGTGTCTGCTGTGGACTGCTTTTAAATCGTGCTTCCGGATAAATCGCGATTTATTGCGGATAACTTCGCTTTTGTGCGGTTTTTTGCGTGTAATCCTATCAGGGAATTTACCTTAAGTACACAAAAAATATTTTTTTCCTCTACTAGAAAGTATGTTTTGAAATATATTTGGTATTTGTATGCATATTATTTTATGATAAAACCTTGTACTAAATTTTTGTATAAAATTTTAGGTGGTGAACTAGGAGTTAAAAGTAAAGAAAAAAGAAGAGATAAAATTAGAAAACAGAAACATATAAGAATTTTTATTTTTATCAAAATAGAAATGTTCATCCTTGACTGTTAGTTCTTTACATAGAAAAAGGAAGAGATCTCTTAGAAGGTTCAGCTGAAATCTGAAAAAGAAGGCAAAAAGCAGGCAGTGAGATTTTTTTTGAATAACTGTAGATATACTAGATTAATTTTTTTAATAAAATTGTGTTGAATTGACTAGTTGAAATTTGAGAGTAAAAACAGAGTTTCTACAGAAAAATGAATGGTATGGTACTAAATTTTTGCATAAAATTTTACGTAGTGAATTACAAGGGACAAGAAGAAGTGAAGGAGAAAATTTAGAGGTTACGGCCGACGTTTTCGATGCGAAAACGTGTATGTCAGACGTTCAGTACCGCTTTCTTGTAAGCCTAGAAGTTTGACAATGGCATTTGGAACATCAGTGGAATCATGCTCGACATTCCAAAAGCCATTGTCAAACTTATAGGTTTACAAGAAGGCAGTGCTGAATGTCTGACATACACTTTTTCGTATTGAAAACGTCGGCCGCATCCTCTAATGTCAAGTAAGGTAGAGAAGAGACAAGATTAGAAGATGATTGGGTAACATTGATAGAACATGTAAGAATTTTTATTTTTTAACAAAATAGATATGTTTATCCTTGACTGTTAGTTCTTTACTTAGCGAACATGATGATAAGGGAAAAAATAGACAACACAGTAGAAGCAGTCGCAGATTAAAGAGGAAGATGAAAACAGAAAGCAGGAGATTTTTTTGAATAACTGTAGATATACTAGATTAATTTTTTTAATAAAATTATGTTGAATTGACTAGTTGAAATTTGAGAGTAAAAACAGAGTTTCTACAGAAAAATTAATGGTATGGCTGAAAGGGACGTTTAATACTTTATCTGATAAAAAATACAAAATTCCAAAAAGTAGCATTTTCTATAATAAGATGTCAAAGTTTAACCTTGTAATATGTATACAATAAAATGGTGTGAATCATTGTATTATTTTGAATAACATACTTGGTACCTAATCCATGATGCTGAATGACATACAGTAATTACATCAATATATTTACAAATACTCCAAAACTATAAATCAGATACATTAGTTATTAAAATTTACAAAAAATCCATACAAAAATTTAAATTAATAAATAAAAGCAATATAACCACAGTATTACAGTATGGGGGAGAACTATTTAAAAAAAAATATAACAACATAAAAAGAAGAAAAATAAAACAAAAAATTTAGCAACACCTCACAAAATAATAGATAATCTCCCAAAGTTCTACAGGTGAAGCTTGCTTTAATACTTTTTTTTAACTCTCTGCCTAATGGGCACTAAGAGGGCCTCTTTTAGCAGGCCCATTATGAATTCGGTCAGGCCTACAATGGGGCGACCGGATAGTGAGGGACAGGGCCCAACATATCTGAACGAACCAACCCCATAAAAATTCCTGGGGATTTTTCGACCTGTTTGGATTCGATCCCAGGTTCCCCAGAGCAGCAGGCTGCGACCTTGACTGCACAGCCATCCGGCCAAGTTGCTTTAATAGTGAAATATAGTACCATCCACAAGTAGAAATATGACACCAAACAAACAATATAAAATTCCAAAACTAGAGATTTTTCACTTAATAGTTTCAAAAAATTGTCAGCTGCCATTTCTCCACATACGTAATACAATTATGGATGAATCTTTCTTCTAACTCTAAGATATTGACCCTGTCCCACTAAATGCCACTACAGATTACAAAGAGACTGCATTTTAATCATAAGTGGTCGGACACCTAATGCCAGTATTAAGGGACTGAACAATAAGGTTGGACCAAGAAAAGTACTCGTGCTCTGTAATTATAATTTTTATTTTAAAAAGAAATAAGATAGGATTGGATTTCACGCCCTATCACACGTAAACAAAATCAATAGTTGGCGTCCAAGTGATGACGTCCTTATAAATCATAGGAGGGTCGTCTTCTTGTATGAATGGAGATTAATTGACCAGTCCATTAAATAACAATGACAAGTTTTAATAAAACAAATGAAGTAAAAATACAATATACTGAGAGATCAAAACACAATTGTCCCTTGATAATCCAACATGTATGGGACCAAAGGGTGTCGGATTACCGAAAGTGATTACATATTTGGCATTGTTTTGCTAGCAGTAGTCTACGATAGTCCTACATTTTATGAGTAAAATGCTGCCTAGGTTAATATGGAAATGAAACATCCATTTCGGTTAACTAAAATGTGTTTATTAGAAGAAATATGGGATCCAATAAATGTACTGTACAGTACATACAGTACGTATAGGCATAAATAATACGGTACATACAGTAATTTATAAACATTATAACTAAATGCCACAACATAGGTATGTTAATTACGTACAGTACATCTGATGTGCTTATATTGTAAAGAACTTTTAAACATGATTGCAATTTGCAATCCATGTACAAGACAACTGATGGTTTTTATTGAGTAATTTCATCGTTTTCTTCATGATGGCAGCTCTGTCTGATGTTATGCAGACAATATTTTTCAAAGAAATTTGAAATTCTTTTAATTTATTTTCTATTAATTCTGCACATACCTCAGCAGGCGCAGGTCCATAAATTCGACTAAATCCAAGATTCCAAAATTTACCATCTCCATGAATATTCACATTTATATATCGGCGGTTTATATTTGATGTCCACTCACCTGTGGTAAGGCTATACATTTTGTTATTATTTGTATGCTGTAAAATTTCCTTTGATACCTCTTCCTTAATTTTATCTGCATATTGCATAACTACTTTTTGAATAGTTTTTGAGACTTTAGTATCTCTTGGTAGTTTCTTGCTTTTAATTAATTAATAACATCCGTAAATCTGCAGATGTACAAAACTTGCTAAAAGGAATTCCATCTTTTGCTATCATTCTTGAGAGTACAGTTTCAAGAGATTAGTCATTTTTCTTGAAATAAGAGGTAATTTTTGATCTTGTATCAATCGCTGGTTTTTTTGAGCATTCTTCATTGTTTCTTTTTAATAGATTAATTTTATGTTAAAAACTCTTTGGATGGCTGCGTAAACCACTAGTACTTTCACCTGCTGCTTTTATTCTTTGTTGCCCTGTTTACATACAGCTACATCTCTCGTTTCTGTACGATTAAAGTAGAACCAAACTGAATTTCTATCCATGGTTTCTACAAAATAATAATATATTATGTAGATTTTAAACCAGCAAAAATTGATAAAAACAAAAAAAAATAATATTCGAAGATTCGAACTCAAATGTGTAAATCTATTGAGGTTTGAGAAACACTGTGACATGACGTAATGGGTTATATTAAAATTAAACAAAAAATAACTCTCATAAAATTAATAATTTGGTATATTGTTGCTTACACTTACCTGTTTTTTTTTATTTTCAATGTCCCTGTAGCCCTTTTAAATATCTATAAACACAATATTTTCTACATAAAAATTTCTAGTATGGATTTTTCATTTACCAAATTACCGGTAAATTTTTGAAATTTACCGGTAAGTTTACCGAATGTTTTTGTCGATTTATCGGCTAACCGATAAATTGACAAAAAAAATCGGTATACAATCCCTACTTTTTACTAACAGCCACTTGGCACTAAGTTCTACACTTAGCTATTCGTGGCGGCACTGAATCGTTGATGTTCGCTACACTCAGGTTTTCTTATAGACCCTTCGTGGGACTACGGCCTTGAAGCCTAAAAACTGCACGCCAGAATCAAACATAGAGGGTACCTTTTTTTTAACTCTTTCCGCCCTGTGGGCACTAAGAGGGCCTCTTTTTGCAAGCCCATTATGAGTTCGGCCAGGCCCACAATGGGGCTGCCGGGTGGTGAGGGACGGGCCCGACATATCCGATCGGACCACTCCCCGAAGAATTCCTGGGGATTTTTCTACCCGTTCGGATTCGAACCCGGGTCCCCCAGAGAGGTAGGCTGCCACCTTGACCGCTCGGCCATCCGACCGCAAAACATAGAGGGTACTGTAGTCATACGTAACACCGTTCAGAGGAATTCTACCTTTCTCTACTATCTATCTCCTCTCCCTCCTTCCCTTTCCCTTACCCTCTTTTTCGCTGGCTAAAGATCTCGTGTACGGCCGATGTCTTTCTTATTTGTATGTATGTGGGCCTGGCTGAACCGACGATGGCTTGATCGAATGATCCTCTTAGTGCTCACAGGACGAAAAGAACAAAAGAAAAACTCCTCCAGAGCAGTAGGCTAATGCCGTAATCACTTCACCCATCCGACAGTCTATCAAAATGCTTTTAAAGTTGCTAAAGTTGTTACCTGACCAAGCAAAATCTTCAAATACTATACGTTTTGCTGTACATTTTTCAATGCTGTGCGAAAGAAAAAAACGTTGCTATAATGTTTGATGTTACATATTAGACCAGTTTTATTACCTTGCTCATACTGTCTAAAAGTGCTTCTAATAAAATCAAATTAAAACGTTATCATCGTTACTTATATAGTCTACATGTTTAAATATTTTATTGTTTATTTATTTATTTTTATTAAGATTTCATTACTTTAAATTTACTAAGAAAAATCACTCATGATGATAAGAATTAGCAGCTTTTATTTCATAAAGATCTTTCTAATTTAGTTATTCGTATCGAAAGACAAATGTATTGAATCAATATCTTAAAATATTTATATTCGGAATTTATCTACTATAATTATAATGATTTAAGTAAAAAAACTTAAGACAATTTAAACTTTTAAAATATGATTATTTAAAAATTTGGATGAGCGAAAGACTGTAGAAAATTGACGTAGGGAATGGAACCGCTTAAAACAGGATCGAAATGTTTACAGATGATAAAGAAATCTTCGTCACTGAGACAGATGGTAAAATCATTCAAAATCTTCTTGAATTTTGTAGCATCGATTAATCCTGCTTTTTGTGGGTCGTTTGCTAGAAACTGTTGTCGTAACGCTCTGAAGTAGAATAAATTTTGAGATGTCATTCGCAGTAATACTCTATACACATGGTCACAGTTTGGTTTAGTAATGGCATCAGGTTTCTATCATCTAAGCTGCATTTACGAAGAAACATCCAATAATTAACTTTCTTTCCTGGTATAATGCTATATATTTCTTGAAGTATTCTGCTAAGATTTCGATTTGTAACAGGAATACCATTGTCATAAAATTTTCACAGGAAATATTTCCACTTTCTTTAACATCCATCGTGCGACATTTAGAGATAATCTTGCGCCACGAACAATCTATCAATTTCTTTAGCAAAAGATCATAGTTTGGAGGAGCTGGGAGAGTAGACCATGCTGCTTCTTCAGATATGGTGAGATAATCAGGTTTTTCTTTACGGTATATTTGCATTTCTGCTTGATCGGATTTGTTTGAATGGTAACATTAGTACTGAGAACGGTGGTATGAATTATTACTAATATGAAGTACTGGCAATTCATTAAGAATGAGTGTTCCAGGAACCATATTGTATTGTCGTTCTAAAAAGTTATTCATAAATTCACTGTAGACTGGAATTCCGCACTGATTTAGCACTTCCTTCATAGATTCTGATGCAATGCGACCCGATTGCCGTGGATCTGCTTCTTTACATTTCCGAATTATATCATGCCAATTTTTTTCAATGCAGTTTCTCAATATTATCTTGATATCATTAAATTGGTTTCCTTCAATTTCGCAATGGCATTTAGATGTATTTCTCAATTTTTGAATTGAAGGTTCATCATATTTTGACTTAGAAGATGAATGGACCAATGTTCGTGAAATTGTTTTTATTCTGTAATTACTTATTGAATTGTTTGGTGTACAATCTCCAAAATCTAGAAATCGTATGTAATTCAATGCACCATTCTCAACTGGAAACATTTTCCACAGCCCTTCGAACTGCTTATCGGAAAGTGGCATACAATGTTTCTGAAGCAGACATTTGACGTGTTGTTTCGAAACCATACCAGTATTTTCGAAATCATAAAAAGTAAAAGCTTTCAATAACTTCTCTGTTTGAGTTTTGATGTTATATCTTATTTTTTCATCAAGTTTCAACAGAGTGAGAGGTTCATGTCTTTGTAAGCTACTCGTACTAACTTTTTTAATCGAGTTTCCCAAGTCGCAAACAGATTCAGGTTTAAACAGATTTAAAAAGTCTTCTAGTTTAATTAAATTCGTATGAAGTGGATCTAAGATGAGTAATAATTCTTCATAATCTTTGGCTGATAGTTTAGCAGGATAAGGCATCGAAAAATTCGCTACTCTTTTCATTTCTTCTCTAGTAATCATCTTATCTCCGTTTCTGTTTACGGTGTATGCTACCTTAAGTGAATTATGAGGATTTATGGCCCGAACTCTCAACCTCTTCACTGCTGTTTCTCCAGTCTCGTTTGTTTGTTTCTGATGGGATCTCTGTAAACTTTCTTCGTAATCTATATCCGGCCATACAAGGCAAGCAGGCACACTTTCCCATCTTGGATTCTGAAATTTCGCCATATTTTAGATTCAGAGTATGCCAATAATTCAAAATAGTAAAACGGATATTTTGTTATCAGTAAAAACCTTCAAATTTCACAACTACAGAATATTAATAGTGGACCCTTAGCATAAAAAAAGCTTTTACTTTTGTTTTACAATGATGATAATACGAGTTGTAATATTTTTTCATTTATTATTAAGCGATGCATTTGAAGAGTCACGTTTATCTCAAATTTTGCTAAAACAGTTCAATTTATAATAATTTTTCAACATAAAAAATTGTTTATATACTGATATTATTTAGATTTATACAGTATAAGCTTATCTCCAAGTATAACTGCATCATCAATTTCGACATCATTCTGTTTTTCAGAATGATAAAGAATAGAAATTTCAAATATATTTCAAATAACTCAAGTTTTTAGTATATATAAATCACAATATGTTTACCAAAATATACTTATTGTGCTCTCTGTCTTTACAAGTTAGTATAGATTCACAGAAGAATATTGCAGCTAACATCAATGAATAATTAAAATGAATTTTGCTTTAAACACTTTGGTTTGCTAGAAAAGTGCGAAAGAATATCTTAAAACTTACAGCAAATTTTTAAATATTCATGTCAAGATTATTAAAATTTATATATTAATAAATTTTGAAATGAAGTATAGCCATGTGTATACATTTACAATATACATTTTTAATGTTTAATTAATTTCGTGAATTAAAATAAATTTGAAAAATATTTTGCTTTTAAAAAGCTTTATACAAAAAATTTCTTAAAATTGACTACGGTTAAGTATTTGCAATGTGAATGCCATTGCGAAATTGAAGGAATATTTGGAATTAAAAGAAAATAATCACATTGCAAGTAACTTCTGTGGTGCAGTTAACTCGTTGCGTGCTACCGTCGATGCTAATTAATGAGAAAGGAGCCATGATATTAGTCTCCTCCATCGCTTCCATCTTCCCCGTATCACATTTAAACGTCTACTCGGCTTCTAAAGCATTTTGCACCTTCTTTTCCAGAAGTGTTTCCGCAGAACGTCTCGGTAAAGGACTGGACATTCAGACACTTATTCCGTATTACGTGTCCATCAAATTCAAAAAATTCGGCGTTGTAATTCCTAGCAGCGATCGTTACGTGAGGGATGTCATTCGAACTTTAGGAATTTCCGATTACACTAGTGGATTTTGGTTACACGACATACTTAAGTATCTTGCGGTAAATTGTCGTACAAATATGTGGAAATGGTTTACGATAAAATCGATGCTCAGAATAAAGAAACGTTTGCAAGGTATAATTATGTTTCGTGAGATATAATAGCAATTCTCTCTTCTCTTAACATTTCAAGCAGTTCTGCTCTACAGATTTATATAAATGCTTAAGAATAAATGTATCAGTAAAAGAAGTTTGTAAACATTTTTATAAAGTTTGCAACAATTATTATAGTCCAAAAAACTTCATTTACGTTAATATTTTGATAATGTAATAAAAAATGCGTAATAAAACTTTAATTCTAATTATAAAATGTATTATTGTAAGTTCAGTTTTGTTATCGTAAAAATAAATACCTTGTGAATACAATTTGCTTTTTTTCTTCATGCCTTATCCAGTCATTTCTGACTTCGGCAAGAACTCGGCGCAGGTGATGCGGTCAAGGTGAGTCTTGTGGAAGTTAGTACCAGAGTGGTACCCCTCCCCTTTATCAGCTCTGGGTAGAGGTGTTACGCGAGGGAAATAATGCTTTCTGGGAGATCTTTTAAGGGAAACTAGTTCTTATTCAGAGTGAAGAAAACCAGAACTCCACGTGGCTAGCCCCCATCCGAGCGCGGCGCGAACCCACAACCGAACTCCCGGTGTTCAGGGAATGGAACCACTTGGCCACTGGTGGGCCTGCTTTTTTTCTGCTTCCATAAAATATTGCTAAAATTGAGATATTACAAAGCAATATTTAAGGAAATAACTAGATGTCCTAGAATAATACAAGGAAAGTTTCCACTGCAACTCATCTGAATTCTCAGAAAAAGAAAAAACACGATTGCGAAAAATTTCTATTAGATCAAATTTATGATATAATCCTTTTTTCAATAACTTTCCTGGACTAATAAATCTCGCTGATAACCTTCANACTCTTTCCGCCCTGTGGGCACTAAGAGGGCCTCTTTTTGCAAGCCCATTATGAGTTCGGCCAGGCCCACAATGGGGCTGCCGGGTGGTGAGGGACGGGCCCGACATATCCGATCGGACCACTCCCCGAAGAATTCCTGGGGATTTTTCTACCCGTTCGGATTCGAACCCGGGTCCCCCAGAGAGGTAGGCTGCCACCTTGACCGCTCGGCCATCCGACCGCAAAACATAGAGGGTACTGTAGTCATACGTAACACCGTTCAGAGGAATTCTACCTTTCTCTACTATCTATCTCCTCTCCCTCCTTCCCTTTCCCTTACCCTCTTTTTCGCTGGCTAAAGATCTCGTGTACGGCCGATGTCTTTCTTATTTGTATGTATGTGGGCCTGGCTGAACCGACGATGGCTTGATCGAATGATCCTCTTAGTGCTCACAGGACGAAAAGAACAAAAGAAAAACTCCTCCAGAGCAGTAGGCTAATGCCGTAATCACTTCACCCATCCGACAGTCTATCAAAATGCTTTTAAAGTTGCTAAAGTTGTTACCTGAACAAGCAAAATCTTCAAATACTATACGTTTTGCTGTACATTTTTCAATGCTGTGCGAAAGAAAAAAACGTTGCTATAATGTTTGATGTTACATAGACCAGTTTTATTACCTTGCTTATACTGCTCTAAAAGTGCTTCTAATAAAATCAAATTAAAACGTTATCATCGTTACTTATATAGTCTACATGTTTAAATATTTTATTATTTATTTATTTTTATTAAGATTCATTACTTTAAATTTACTAAGAAAAAGCACTCATGATGATAAGAATTAGCAGCTTTTATTTCATAAAGATCTTTCTAATTTAGTTATTCGTATCGAAAGACAAATGTATTGAATCAATATCTTAAAATATTTATATTCGGAATTTATCTACTATAATTATGATGATTTAAGTAAAAAATCTTAAGACAATTTAAACTTTTAAAATATGATTATTTAAAAATTTGGATGAGCGAAAGACTGTAGAAAATTGACGTAGGGAATGGAACCGCTTAAAACAGGATCGAAATGTTTACAGATGATAAAGAAATCTTCGTCACTGAGACAGATGGCAAAATCATTCAAAATCTTCTTGAATTTTGTAGCATCGATTAATCCTGCTTTTTGTGGGTCGTTTGCTAGAAACTGTTGTCGTAAAGCTCCGAAGTAGAATAAAATTTGAGATCTCATTCGCAGTAATATTCTATACACATGGTCACAGTTTGGTTTAGTAATAGCATTATCAGGTTTTTTTCTATCATCCAAGCTGCATTTACGAAGAAACATCCAATAATTAACTTTCTTTCCTGGTATGATGCTATATATTTCTTGAAGTATTCTGCTAAGATTTCGATTTGTAACAGGAATACCACAGTTTGCCAATATTGTCATAAATTTTTCACAGGAAATATTTCCACTCTCTTTAACATCCATCGTGCGACATTTATAGATAATCTTGCGCCACGAACAATCTATCAATTTCTTTAGCAAAAGATCGTAGTTTGGAGGAGCTGGGAGAGTAGACCATGCTGCTTCTTCAGGTATGGTGAGATAATCAGGTTTTTCTTTACGGTATATTTGCATTTCTACTTGATCGGATTTGTTCGAATTGTAACATTCGTACTGAGAACGGTGGTATGAATTATTACTAATATTTTTAATAAATTGCCAGTAGTTCATGAGTGTTCCAGGGACCATATTGTATTGTCGTTCTAAAAAGTTATTCATAAATTCACTGTAGACTGGAATTCCGCACTGATTTAGCACTTCCTTCATAGATTCTGATGCAATGCGACCCGATTGCCGTGGATCTGCTTCTTTACATTTCCGAATTATATCATGCCAATTTTTTTCAATGCAGTTTCTCAATATTATCTTGATATCATTAAATTGCTTTCCTTCAATTTCGCAATGGCATTCAGATGCATTTCTCAATTTTTGAATTGAAGGTTCGTATTTTGACTTAGAAGATGAACAGACCAATGTTCGTGAAATTGTTTTTATTCTGTAATTACTCATTGAATCGTTGGGTTTACAATCTCCAAAGTCTTCTAGAAATCGTATGTAATTCAATGCACCATTCTCAACGGGAAATATTTTCCACAGCCGTTCGAACTGCTTATCGGAAAGTGGCATACAATGTTTCTGAAGCAAATATTTGACATGCTGTTTCGAAACCATACCAGTATTTTTGAAATCATAAAAAGTAAAAGCTTTCAATAACTTCTCTGTTTGAGTTTTGATGCTATATCTTATTTTTTCATCAAGTTTCAACAGAGTGAGAGGTTCATGTCTTTGTAAGCTACTCGTACTAACTTTTTTAATCGAGTTTTCCAAGTCGCAAACAGATTCAGGTTTAAACAGATTTAAAAAGTCTTCTAGTTTAATTAAATTCGTATGAAGTGGATCTAAGATGAGTAATAATTCTTCATAATCTTTGGCTGATAGTTTAGCAGGATAAGGCATCGAAAAATTCGCTACTCTTTTCATTTCTTCTCTAGTAATCATCTTATCTCCGTTTCTGTTTACGGTGTATGCTACCTTAAGTGAATTATGAGGATTTATGGCCCGAACTCTCAACCTCTCCACTGCTGTTTCTCCAGTCTCGTTTGTTTGTTTCTGATGGGATCTCTGTAAACTTTTTTCGTAATCTATATCTGGCCATACAAGGCAAGCAGGCACACTTGAAATTTCGCCATATTTTACATTCTGAGTATGCAAATAATTGTAAATAGTAAAATGTATATTTTGTTATCAGTGCAAAATCTTCAAATTTCACAACTACAGAATATTAAAATAGTGAATCCCTTAGCATAAAAAAAGCTTTTACTTTTGTTTTACAATGATGATAATACGAGTTGTAATATTTTTTCATTTATTATTAAGCGATGCATTTGAAGAGTCACGTTTATCTCAAATTTTGCTAAAACAGTTCAATTTATAATAATTTTTCGACATAAAAAATTGTTTATATACTGATATTATTTAGATTTATACAGTATAAGCTTATCTCCAAGTATAACTGCATCATCAATTTCGACATCATTCTGTTTTTCAGAATGATAAAGAATAGAAATTTCAAATATATTTCAAATAACTCAAGTTTTTAGTATATATAAATCACAATATGTTTACCAAAATATACTTATTGTGCTCTCTGTCTTTACAAGTTAGTATAGATCCACAGAAGAATATTGCAGCTAACATCAATGAATAATTAAAATGAATTTTGCTTTAAACACTTTGGTTTGCTAGAAAAGTGCGAAAGAATATCTTAAAACTTACAGCAAATTTTTAAATATTCATGTCAANAATTGTATCTCCAGTAGGGTCGCACTTAAATGTACTGTACACCGCTGATCTTTTAATCACCAAAATTTATTCTACCATATTTTGAAACCGTGTCGTTCTTTTCATTTGTTCTATAAGCGCAAGGTAGCGTAATAACGATCACTTGGCACTATTCACTTCTTTATTTCACTTTTCGTTGAAAAGTGAATAGTGCCAAGTAATCTTTATATGATGACTTCATTTCACTTTTCAACGTTGAAAAGTGAAATAAAGAAGTGAATAGTGCCAAGTGATCGTTATTACGTTACATTGCGCTTATAGATAACACCAAAATTTAATAATAGAATCAATCCACATAATTAGCAAACCTCCCTGCAAAATTTCAGAAATTTTCGACAAAAAGCATAGGAGTTATTAAGGGAGGTCAATCGTAATAAGTTACATGCGTTTTTATATCGAACCAAGAACCGGAGTAGTGTCTGATAAATACAGCCGGATGGCCGAGCAGTCAAGGTGGCAGCATACCTCTCTGGGGGACCCGGGATCGAATCCAAACTGAACGAAAAATCCCCAGGAAATTTTCGGGGGATATTCAATCCGGATATGTCGGACCCCGTTCCTCACCACCCGACCGACACATTGTGGGTCTGGCCAAACCCATAATGGAATTGCAAAAAGAAGTCTTCTAGTGCCCACAAGGCGAAAAGAGTTTAAAAAAAAAAAAATGTATCTGATAAAAGAGGTTCCACTTTATATATAATTATAATTACTTACACACAAACACACACTCAAACTTTTATATAATTTTTATTTATTAATTTTATAAAATATTTTTAGTTTTCATATTATTCGAAATAATAAAATTTATAAAAACTGAGAAATTAAAATATTTGAAAAAGGAATGTTTTTGACGATTGATGTAGGGACGCTACGGGAGAATTCGGGAAGAGAGAACAGACGAGATTTTCTTAATCTCGTACTAAACTGTTTTTTCCATAACTTTAGTCGTTGGTAGGCTTTTCTTATTTTAAAATATTTAGAATTTTTCTCATAAACAAATATTTCGAGTGAAATAATCACGTAATTATTTATTATACATTTACAGATTTCGGGATAGATTATTTAATACTGCAAAGTCTTTAAAAATTTTACTTTAAACATGGGAGAAGAAAGAGATAATGACAAAGGTAAGCCTAATTATAAAATGTATTGATCGCCGTTTAAATATGTAATAATTCACTCCCAATGATTTCTCTTTATATTAAAAAAATGTGCATTTATAAAATGGCAGGCCAATTTGAAAAGAATGAAACTTCACAAAAATAATCTAATTAACTTGTATTTTGTTTATTAAGCTATAAATATTTGTTGTACATTGCATAATATGTTTTTTTTAGAGTTAAATGATAAAATATTAGCCAATAATTATGAAATTACAGTTTTTGTTAAAGTTGTGTGTGTACAAATGCACTTGTTAATAATGATTTCTGTTTTGTGTGGTGAAAATTGTGCACATTACAAATTTATTGAATGACGGATTGCGTTAACATTAATGTAAAATGGCAATGTAGACTGGTCGGCTGTGTTGACGTGTGGACCGTCTTGGCCTCGTCTCTTTCTCGTTACTAGTGTTTTTTCCCACGTGTGTCTTTATGATGCCTCCTCGAAAGTGCTTAATTTGAGACGCCTTATACCAAGATCGATCGTGGTGGATGAGAGATGGGAATGATGCATCGAACCATTCTGTTTGTAAGAAATTTTGACTGTCTTAATTAGTTTCAAATTTGGTTCTCGTATGGTTTGGGCCGAGCTCAGAGTTCTTCTATCTGGCTGATGTCGGTTAATTAATAAATTGCTAATTCTTTGTTTATGCGTCGATGAATTGGTTAATTATTCCTGTTCGGTGCAAGTGCATGTTAGGCTAAAGCTGTAATTATTACTAAATTTTACAAACTATAGAGTTTATTAATAATTGGTAATTTAATCCAACGATCAATCTAGATTTATTATTCAGCTCAAATTATTTGATCGGTAATATGATTTGGGCATGTTTCCTTATACAGTTATTTAATCCTTTGGGCTTATTGGGTAGCTGAGCCCAATGCTAAATTTGGCTTGGTTATTGGATTAAATAAATGATGTTTAATGCAATAATCCAACTAAAATATTTTTATGTGATGTTTGAATTTCATTTTGGAAATAAGTAAATTAATAAAAAAAAGATGACCTGAATTTTATTGGTTAATGAAATTAATCGTACAAAATAATTGTTTTAAAAAATAAATTGCTGGCTATTGGTAAGAAAACCAATAGCATTCAGAGAGCCTTCCTAGCAGTGTCTATTCAATAGTTATATCTGGCATTAGCCATGGATTGTCAGATTTAACTGCAGTATGAGAGAAGTAACTGTAAAGCATCTATTGCTCTTAATAAAGCTGGTCAAAGACTGTTGGCCTTGAACAATGATAATCTTTGAATGTTCACAATACAATTGCTTAGTGGAAACTTCTATGTGGCTTTGCCATTATTTGAAGACCGTCATCACTGTATTAGAGCACAGTGGGTGGAACAATCAACAAAGTCATTGGTTATAGGAATGCTTATATCCTTCTATCTGGCTCTTATAATCATCTTCAGAATTCCTCAGGTCCTTGCCTTTATTCATGTTTTGTGTAAAAATAGATGCAATACTCCTGCAGTTATCTACTTATAACCAATACCTGTTAATCATGTGGCTACTTCTCCCAAAAAGTGCAATTTATTTCATTTGCATAGGTGGTCATAATAAATTGATACAACAACTATATATTGGAAATAAATCTATCCTATTGCAGAAAGATAAGCAAAAGTAAGCTTTTTATGTCAGCATAGTTTTGCATCTACTTCTTAATTCTTAAAGCCCTTGAATGTTTCCTGTCTTTTGACCTAGGACAGCGGTTGGCAGTTTGTCAAGTGAAAAGAGCCAAATTGTCATTGAAACAGTATAACAAAAGTACCAGAGAGCTGCGTATATAACGCGCACCAGAGAGATGCCCCCTAGTGCACGTTACAGGCATTCCGTGACAATAATAAATTCCTATTACAAATATACTAAATTATTTATATTGTTATTGGCTATTGGCCAAATTAATAATAATAATAATAATAATTTATATTGTTAATTTAAATGTGCGAAATATGACACACGACGAGCGCCTCTAGTGGCCTCTAGTGAACGTTACACGGACGGACACGCGTTCGATGGGTTATGTATATAATGTACAATATAGATATGCTTTAAATGCTGCCACTCGCATGTGACTCATATTTTAATCAATGCGAGTGTGGTCGTGTGGATAGGCTAAAGAGTGCTAGAGAGTATGCCATACGAGTCGAAGTTTGTTGGGCGGCTCTATCTCATAAATTCATTAGTTATAAGACTGCGGTGAAATGAGGTGAGGTGAAATTGGAGTTTATGTTCGAAGAGCCGCAAACGTCTATGCAAAGAGCCGCATGCGGCTCGCGAGCGCTAATTCCGACCCCTGACCTAGGACAAAGCATACCTAGGCCAAGTTTACATCTCCTCCCTGGTAGGGTGGCAGTTTTTGGTGTTTTTGCTAGACTTCCTCACCAGTGATTTTTCTATTTTCAAGAGAAATAACCTTCTACTAAACTAAACCCTTTTTTTCATTCCAATTTGGGTTCATGCATATCCATGTTATCATGTATATCACTATTTAGAGTAGTGATGTTGAGAATGTTGGAAAAGACAACCAGTTTTTGTGATTTCCTATTTTTTCCAGTAGAAGATGCAATTATATGTCCTATCAGAGATGTTCATTTTGGTCATATTTGTTTGGTACTTTGTTTGAGAAAGTAGATGATAGATATGAAAGTGACCAAGAAGAAGTCTTTCACAATAATTATGAAGACCACTCAGATGATGATGATGATGGTGAGATTGCTATAATAGAAGTGGATGAGCAGTGTAATTCCAGCAGTTTGTCAAATGATGATTCATCTGGGGACAATCAGAAAATTTTAGAAACAAATAAAAAAATAATCAGTAATGAATGTATAACGATTCCATACAAAAGTCACTATTTTTAATGCAAGAAAGAAACACTGAGACTTATCAAAATGAAAAAAATTAACCTTGACAGTTGACCCCATGGTAACAGATGTGATTTTTAATGTAACTTGCAAAATAAAGTCTCTGGTGTAAAGCCTTTTTAGACAATCTTAATTAAGAAAAAATATTAAGACATGAAAGAAAAAATTACACGATTTGGAACTGGTCACTATTTTAACTAAAAGTCAATTTGCAAAATGTCATTAAGAGTCCCTTTTGGAAAGATGTTACCATATTCTGTTTTAATGTCTCTTCAACTTTTTGAGAAACTGAAAAATGAAGTGCACATTAGATTTTAAGTATAAATGAGGAGCTCTGAAGTGAAACATGTTAAGTGACATTAGTATCATTTTCAGTATTATAGTATGTTAAATCTGTTAGCTGTAATTTAAACAGATTTCACTGTGGTTAATTGATTTTATTTCATTTGAGTGTCACCTGTCTATTGAACTTTTGTTGATTTTAAAATTAATAAAAGTTGGCTTCCTGAAATTAGTAGTCATTTATTCACTTTTGCAAGATGATATCAAGTTTTGTAAACTTTAATGTTTTATTCTGTATTTTGTTTCCAGATTAAGATCAAAAGGAAATATTTTTTTCATTATTATTCAAAAAGTTAATAAATGTTTCCATTCATATGAAACAAGTAGTGTATTTCTTGTATTTAATAAATATATTTAGACTGTCTGTTTTCCGCATCTGGATTAATAATAGTAATTCAATTGTTGTTTTCATCTTTTTTATAATTTTACACTTCGATATTCACATACATTCAATTATGCTGAGTGTTAGCTCTTGAATTGATGTGCAATTATCTGTGTGTAATGGGTGAAAGAATTCATATTTTAACTGATATAATTTAAAATAACTGTTCTATTCATTACTGCAAATTATGCCATCATTTAATTTTGTAACCCAAATGATCGCCTTAAATAATTGGGCTATAAATCCACTATTTAATGATTAAATAATAATTAATTTGTTACTAGAGGTAAACATTAAGCACCATCTCTTATCTAAATTAATAATTATAATTTTAATAATTTTTAAAATAATTTTAGGATCATCCAGAAGAAAAGAACTGGCTTAGGACATCTTGAACCCGCAACTTCTGCTTGCCATGCAGTTGCTTGGGGTCCGAGTGGCACAACTGGCAAATACATTGCACGGCAAGTGTAGCTTGCAGGTTTAAGCCCCACCCGAGCTAGTTCTTTTTTTCCAGAGTTAGTATTTAATCATTAAATAGTGGGTTTATAGCTCAATTATTTAAGACAATCATTTTGTTATGTATTTATATTGTGTTTTGGGATGTTTGATATATTCATTTAATTTCATTGTTGTTAATGCTTTTTAAAATCTTTTTATCTCATCTATTCATAACAAAGCATTGTTCATGATATACAGTATAGCTTTTTAGTCATTCTGTGGAAGTTCTAATTGTAATTCAAAAATTATGAATTTATTGAAAAGTAAACTTTACCATCTAATCAATTCAAATTGTGTTGAAATAAGTAAAATATGGATGCTAAATGGCTATGTTATCAGAAATTTTTTCTTTGTCATTATCACATAGATAATTTTCTTACATTTTTTACTTCATTACGTTTATCTTTGAGTTGACATGATAGATAGTTTATCCTTTTCTAAAAATAAAACATTTTTGTTTTCAAATAAGAATTTTATTCATAAAAATGATTATATTATAATAATGGAGAAATAGTTTTTTAAAATATGTTAAATTGATCATCAATGAAACCAAAAATATTCTAGAAGGGACTTTAGAAGTTGAATATTCAGCAAAAAAAAACAAAATAAATGAATGAATTAAAAATATCAAAAATTTAATAGTAATAGAAACTATAAATAATTCATAACAAAATAGGTATAGAAAGAAAAAATTGCATGAAAAATAACACTAAACATACTTAAACAAAATAACTTCACTGTATTATGTCATATCCAGTGTCTAAATTTGTCTTTTGAGTTTCTTATTTAACAACATATTTGAACTTGTCATAATAACTATTTACATGTAACAATTTTTTGTCACATGATGAATAATAACTAATTTTTACA